CACAGGGGTGATTTGGTGATGGGAAACCCATGGGGATTACAATCGAGATGGAAAAAAAAATGTGCAAAATGATGTAAAAATAAACTTTGTAATAATAAAAAAAAGAAAATGTTTAGAAGTTTATAGGGTAAACAAAACATTTTTGGTACTTTAGAAAAAAGTTTATGTGTTTCAATGACATGCTTCTTAAATTCTGGTAGGAAATGATCTACTTTTGATAGTGATACTTTGACATACATTACTCTAAAAAAGGGTCAACCAATATAACAATTAATTATAATGTAACCTATTTTTCAATTCTCTGAGCTATAAATCAGAACTCATAACTCCAATAAAACTCTATGTGGTTACATTTCTGGGAGAACAAGAACATTATGAAGTGCACTGAATAGTCTGTCTTATCTTCTAGGGAAACACGAGAATGAAACTGCTATTTTTAGAATTTATGCCCCATAATAGAGCCCTTGCTGCTCAGAGAAAGCTCTCATTCTCCCAAGGAGAGTAATAACTATATGTTCTTCTCTCTACCTCTCTCAATACCAGTTGTGTTTTTTGGGTAATTTTTTTCAGTAAGTCTCAGTTTAGTGAGGTTAATAATTTTAATTATACGCTATCAATTTGATATACATATAAACAGCATCTAGCACAAAGTCTAACATCGGACATTAATTAATAGTAGATCTTACTTTGAATATCATCATCAAACTTATATAAGGAGGTGAGTGTTTTTAAAGAAGATAGATTCTCAGGTTTCAAGGTGACATAACTAGGAAGAAGATATTATGAAAATGGAGATTTCAAGGATGAGCAGATTTGAGGGAAGGCCATTGCTAAGCTAACCATGAACATGAGCACCCATCCAAGGCTGCAATGACATTCACAGATACATGATTTGAGAACAAGCATAATGAATGACATTGTTGCACTATAACCTACACGTCAGGGCTGTCTAGACTCCCTGCTTCTTCTTGACCAGTAATGCATTAAGTGTTCCCATGGTGACCTCCAAGAACTGAATGAAGATTCCAAATGAGCTTAGTTTATATTCCTTCAAGCAACTTATATACTAAGGAAAACCTAGTGAACTATCCCAGGAGAATAAAGAAAAGCTCTCATTTTACATTTAGATATAATCTATTATAATTAGGCCAAGGTTACACATTCTTTTCATATATTTCCCTCTGTATTTCCTGGCTATGTAAGGAATATGTAAATAGGCCAAGTACATAGTGATTGCCAGAAAGGATATATGGGTTGGATAAAAAGGAATAAATGAACATAAATCTTTTACTTAAAAAGCAATCCAGTGCACACGATCTACTGAGTGAGTCAATGCCTTCAGTGGCATCTATAAAGACTGCACACCTCTGACAGCTTAGATCCTGTTTGTTTCTCTTTAAAGAGTTGTTTTTACATTAAATTCCTTTGTAAGTTTTGTAGATCTTATAGTTAACTTGTAATATAATAATAACACTGCAGTGTTGCCCCAGGTTACTGTCTCAAGATCAGATTTACTGATGATTAAAGAAATAACCAGCAATGAGTAGTATTATTAACTTTAATGTATTATTTTGGTATCACGTGAAGTTTTGGAGTAGACTGTGCCCTAAAAAATGAAACGAGGCTTATGAAAGGTGCTTTAGCAAGCAGTACTTAAATTATTTGTCTGGTCCTTAAGCTCTCAAAGTGTCAGTTATAGGAGTAAATATCTCTTTCAATAGTCCAGGTTAACCTGAGAAAGGAGATATGATTCATAATTTCTCTCATGTTTTCCAATGTCAACTATTTCATAGATTTTAATAATTTGGCCAAAGTCATGGTAACAACAAAAGAGAATATTATTCAGTCTTTCAAAGAATGACACCATTTTTCATAATTTTTTGTCATTCATTAAATAGCATAAAACCTGCTAGCAAATAAAATTACAATAACAAATTAGGAGAATATTACTGACAATGAACAATGGTTAGTAATGATATGCTTTCTTCATTAGCTTTCTGTAGTCATAATGCTCACATGAAAAAATCATAATAAAAAGCAAAATTATCAAGTCCCAAAATTATGAACAATTCAAAAAATATATGTAAAATAGATTAATAAAGTTACTAACATATTTTCTTCTGTAATACCAAAACTATGATATACACTCATCTTCTCATCAGTTCCAAGTGAAACCTGGCTTCATGGAAAAAGAACACTGTATTTCAATTAAAAGCATTGACTCATTTATTCACAAAACAAATATAGAGTGCCTGCTGATCTCCAGGAACTATATTATTGCATGGTAAACAAGTATGATTTGGCCCTGTCTCTATGAATTAAGTTACATTCTTTTCAAAACGTTCATCCATTAATATTTAATATGCAGTTATGCATGTACTTAATTAGGCTATTAGAGAAGAAAGAATTGACTGTAAGTGAGATGGTTTTAATCAAATTAAAAAGGCAAGGCTCTTTTTATTTATCTATAAATCTCTATTCTATGCTTGAAAACCAGTGAAGATATTTTTCTAAATAAAGTATAAGACAAAGATTAATAACTGCCACCACAGTGACTATTATGGCAAATTGTAATATTAAAGGAATAAAAACCTGACTTCCTTCTCCCCAGCACATTTCTTATGATTTGATTACCCAACAAGTGCCCCTACTAGCTTCCATAATGAGATACCAAAGTTACTAGAGTTACTCAGTAGTTTTAGATTCAGTTTTTTTCTTTGTATAGTGTAAACACTTTTTAAAACATTTTGAAAATAATGAAACCAGAAATAACCTAAGAAAAGTTGAAGTAGTTTCTTTGACAGGAAAGGAGAAGACAAAATGCAGAAAGCTTCCATACCACTTACAATCATTTCAACTCTGCAGAGTTCTTGTAGTTTATAGCACTTAAACAGAAAAGTCACAAACAAGAAATGAAAACTAATGTGACTGACAAATTTGAATCATTTATATACATTTTTAGGCTCTCAGGAAGAATTATCCAAAGAAATACCAGAAAGCAGCATATACTTAAAGTTACACAACCAATGACCAAGATGATACAGCAGATATAATCTATCAATCTAATGTTTAGTACTAATGTTGTTGATGAACTATATTAGGAATTGCTTTTCACTCACATGAGCCAAGGCATTAATTTCTGATTAAATGGTATATGTAATCTTTGAAGCATAATGCCAGTTAAAATATTAATTTCAGACAGCACTATTAGGTTTAATTATAAAGAATTCAAAATGCATATATCAAAAGACACAAACATACCATTGATCCATCGAGCTTCTGGGTCATGAAGCACAAAGTCTTTCCTGAAGAGGTCTTCTAAAGACAATCTAGTTTCTGATGAATTTGAAAGTTCATCTAAAATAAAAAAAAAATCTCAGATTAGACACATACATCATATTAATTTTGTATTAAACTTTATAATGATGATAATTTTATAATTTTTATAATAACAGTAAGTTTGGGATATTTGCTTTAAAAAATGTGTTAACTAGAAGACAATGATGTGACTATTTTGACATTGTTTTTGACATCTGAAGTGAATCTGTTTCATGACCTTTTCAGATGTTATCTTGATCTAGCACAAATTTAACAGACCAACCCCTTGTTATATAATGATACATAATAAGAAAGTAATTAAGAATTCTCATTGTGCATTATGCTCCCAGGGCATATTTTTCACTGTTTAGTTACAGTCTAGACTGTTACTTTTTAAGCTATTTAGGAATATTTTCTTTTGTGATAAATTTACAGTTTTTTTGTAAACACCAATGATGATAGAGTTGAGGGTACTGAGTATATATGATGAAGAAAACTTCCATCTTAGAAGGAAGTTGACCAAAATAAATAGATGATTACCAAGTTTCACCAAACACCCACCATCCAACAGACACTAAGTGGATTAAAAGTTAGATGCAAAAATTCAAATGAATGGCAGATATTAATGAAAAGCAAACATTTATATCACTTACTAATATCTATATATATATTTTCACTGACTATATAATTGAGTACACTACCTTTTTAAACCCCAAAATTGAAGGTATTTACTAACAATACAGTTTAAGTACCAAAATAGGTACAAAGGGTTGTTGACTGAAAATAAAGTCTCAACAGTGGAGTTTACTCCATAATTAAAATGAAGATTTGAACCCAGGAAGCAATCTGATAGTTTTTACTTAGTAAAAGCTATTCCAATAAACATTAGTTTTAATTTTTATCATTGCATAGGTATGAGCAGTGTCTAAACATTCAGAATGAATTGTTTTATTAAATGATTTATTTTAGGTAACATTGGTTACTGCACTGTAACTGATGCACCCATATCCAAATACACTATATCAGAATGTAAATAATATAGTGTTGAATTCATTTTGTTCCTATACTCACCTTACCCATTTAGTAGCTTTGATTCTGCAGTCATATTTCTACTATTTTTTGGCTTACTTGTTCAGTTTCTTTTAATCAAATTATATTCTACATGAAAATCATCCAGTTTTTATCTTTATTCCATATCAGAAAGTATTATATGTATAGTAGTAATAAACTTATTAAGAGTTGAAAGACCTACTCATTAAAAGCTATAACTATTACTAAAAGAAACAGAAGACACAATGAAAATAATCCATGCTTATAGATTGGAAAAATGATTATTGTTAATATTTTACCCTAAGAAATGCATAGATTCAATGCAATCCCAATCAAAATTTAAATGAAGTTTTTCAAACAGGCACAGCAAGCATTGCTGAAACTTGTGTAACACTACAAAAACTTCATAAACCCAATGCAGTTATGACAAAAAGAAGGGGGAAAGAGATATCATATGACCAGAATTAAACCATATTACAAGCTCATAGTAATCAGAACAGTATGGTAATGGAATAAAAATAGAATAAAGATGAATGGAACAGAACTGAGGATCTTGAAATAAGCATATATTGATAAAGAGAGTCAATGTATGACAAAGGTGTCAAGCATATACATGAAGAAAAGAAATTCTCTTCAAAACATGGTGTTGGAAAAGTGGACAGCCACATACAGAAAAATGAAACTATACAACTTTCTTTATATATATATAAAAATTCAATAGAGTCTGCACATAAAGCCAGGTTCCATTAAATAAATAGAAAAAAAACACTGACAAAAAATTCTACAACAGTGTCATATCCTTGGGGATTCATTGAAAATAAAAGCAAGAATAAACAATGGGAACACATAAAAATAAAAAGTTTCTGCACAGCAAAAGAAACTATCACTAAAACAAACAAAAAACCCTATTGAATGGAGAATATATTCACCCACCATACATCCAACAAAGACCTAATATCCTAGAACAACTCGATAAAAAGAGAATAAAGAACCCAATCATACAAATGTCCTACAGGCACATGAAAAAAACAAATGCCCCAATTCACTCATTATCAGGGGAATGCAAACAAAATCCACAGTGAGATAATACCTCATTCCAGTGAGAATGCCTATTGCAAATGGCTTGGAGTAAAGGAAAACCCAGTAAAATGTTGGTTGAAATATAGAATAGTCCTATAACATGGTAATACCAGGGTAACAGGGAAGTTCCAGATTCTCTGCCCCACCCTAAGGAGGAATAGAGCTGGGCAGGGAGGTGATGCTACCAGAGCAGAAGAGGAGTAAAAAAAAGGAAGAAGCACTAGAAAGAAGATGACATGGAGAAGACACATGGAACAAAGAAACATGCAAAGAAGCTGTACATGCTTCTTGACCTTTGATTCGTACCAGGGACTTACTTTAGAAGGAGACACTTGAAATAGACATAGGTAAGAGAACCGTGGGAAGGCTGACCTTGACTTGGGTTTTCACATTATTGGTTTTTCTTCTAGACTTGCTGGCCCCTTCTGTCCCTTTCCTGTAGGTCCCCACCAAAATGTACCTAGAGTTATGGCAAGTTTGGGTATCACTGATACTGCTTTAGGCCAACTCCGTTTTTCTGGGATGGGTAATTCTGATTACTTAATTGGATTTTTTTTTTTAAGATTTGTTTATTTATGCATACAGAGCTAGGGTACAGGCCAGAGGTACAGTGGCATGAGAGGATTTACCAGACTGGGGAGAAGAACAGGCTGATCAAGGAAGGACACTGCTGAGGGGAGCAGTGAGTGGGTCAGGAGAGGTCTGACACTCCATTTGTATCACCTCCGGGGTGGGGAGAGAACTCATGCTGAAGTGGCTTTAGCTTCTGAGTGCTGTGTTTTAACCTTTTGCACTACCAGGGAGAGAAGAGAGATATAGTTAAACTATATCTCTCTTCTCTCCCTTTATTGTACACTAATTGTATCCAAGTTATTTTCTAGTGAAAGTCTTACACACTAGATATATTTTGTCTTGATGCAGTAGATGGCAGAACCTATTTAGAGCAGGTAGGTTTCAGTTTCCCAGTGTACGTCTTACCCTGGGAAGAGTCGAGATCCTACAGAACAGTCTACACCCTACAGAAAACAGTAAGGAGTTTTCTGAAAATATTAAAAGTAGATCTACTTTTAAATGCCCCAACAATAATCCCATTCCTTGGCATTTATCAAAAAAATTCAGAAATATTAATTCAAGAAGATATATGCACACTTACAGTCACTGCAGCACTACTTCCTGTACAATAGCCAAGCTATAGAAATGACCTACAGTGTCCTATAACAGATGAATGGATTAAGATTTAGTCCATATAGAAAAGGTAAATACTATTCAGCTATTCAGGTAAGTAAATAAAAAAAAAAAAAAAACGATGAAATAATGATATGTGCAGCAACAGGGATGCAATTGGATGAGATTATGCTAAGTAAAGCATGCAAAGAATATTAGCTGCCTCCCTGGTGGTTCAGGGATTAAAGTCTCAGCTCTAACATGCTATCACCAGACACTGAAGTAGGAGTTTGATCCTCAGCCAGGGAACTAACTCCCATGGTGCAGCAGACCTCTCCTTTCTTGTCCTCTACTCCCTTGAGCAGCATATTTCAGTAGACCTGATGGCTTTGCTCCCCATTCTGTCTCTGGTGAATTCTCTCACACCCATACCTCTGGCCTATACCCCAATTCTTGTATGCATAAACAAATAAATAAATCTTTTAAAAAATATATGATTATTGATAGGAAGTGTTTTAAGTTGTCCTGACCTAAAGATAAACTTATGCTAAAAGAAGACATAGAATTTATTTTCCTTGTTAAGGAAGGTATTATGGAGATACAAAAGCTGGGTAGCCATTGATAACTCCTTATCTGGTCATCAGTGGGTGTGAAAACTGCCTTCAGGCAGCCAATTCTGATTTTGACCTACAGGAATGAGCTTGGAAGATGTTTTTGTTCTCTTGTCTATTAGAGGGGAAGGTTCCCAAAAAATTTTACAATGTGTTTAGAGGGTCAGTGGTGTTTTATTTTCCTTACAATGCAATGGCACTGTTTATTTACTGTATAAAATATACTCTCTGTGACCCAGTATAACCTTCATTCTGGTTGAAAATAAGATGTCAACAACATATACTAATCTCATTAGAATTTTTGTAGATTCAGCACATACTATAACAAGAGATTTATTTATGTATTTATGTATGCATGCATGCATATATGTATGTATGTGTGTGTGTATGTATAAAAGAGCTGGGGTGTAGGACAGATGTACAGAGGGGTAAGAGCATTCAACCACAGACAAGAGTAGGTAGCAAGACAGGCAGGTCTGCTGAGGGGGGCCGTAAGTGAGACAGGAGAGAGGTCTGTTGCACCATGTGGGTCATCTTCCTGGCCAGGGATCAAATTTGTGTTGCAGTGGCTTTTCATAGCGTTAGTGCACTGAGACTTAACCCCTAGCAACACCAGAAGGCCCAAGAGCTTTGTTTCTTCAAGCTTAAGCCCTGAGGCAAACCATCAATTTCCTTTTAGCAATTCCATTCTACATGAATCTCTCATATATTTCACTCACAAAATAATTGCTAAGAAACCACTAAAAACACTATTTGTAGAAACAGTGAGAATTGCTTGATTCAATTCTAAGATAAAATGTGTTTTTATATAGGTTTCAACACAAGATGCTCTTAGACAATTACACACACTTGATCATTTGCCTGACATCACACATTTTCATGTGAACACTATTCATTAAACAAATATTATAATCATTTAGTCTGCAGGTATTTAGAGGCTGCCAGAGACTTATTTATATTCTTCCTTAAGGGAGTCACAATTGCAAAGCAAGAAATATATGATATATGATATATACACACACACACACACACATATATGATAATATGAAAATAAGAGTACGACGTGATTGAGCCCAGTCCAAGGAAGGGGACTATCTTACAAAGAGTAAAGTCTCAATAAAAAAATAAAACAAC